GGGCCGGGCCGCGCGCGGGGGCTGCGCACGAGGCCGACCGACTGGGCTGGGGAACCCGGGGATGGAGGGACGGGGCCGCGGTGGGGGGCCTCCTGGGTAGAGTGTGGATCCGAGTCGCAGGAGCAGGGTGGGGGGCGGCGGGTGTGAGGGGTGTGGAGGAACCGAGTCGAGGGGCAGAGAAAAGAGGGTGTGCGTGGTGGCTGGGGGTAAAGGTGCCCAGAGTAAGGGAAGCGGGAAATAGGTGAGTGAATGCCCTGAGATTGGGAGGATGGTGGGCAGGAAGTGGGGGGCTGAGAGTGGAAGGTGAATTCGGAGGAAGCTGGGGATATGGGGCTTAGTGTGTGTGTGTGTGTGTGTGTGTGTGTGTGTGTGTGTGAGTCTGGGGGCGGGTGTGGCCACTCTAGCGGTGAGAGAGAGGTGTGGGCCCCTTCTGGCCAGCTAGGGGAGACCCCTCTGAACTGCTAAGGACATTTGGGAAGCAGTAGTCATTCTGTAGGACCTGGTTCCACCCATCTGGAGGGTTTGGTGTTCAGGACCCCCGGTGGTTAACTTCTAGATCTGGGGAGAGGGCCCTTGTATGGTGGTATAGTCACTGTATGTGCTCCTGGTAGACAGGGAGAGGGGGCCTCTTCCAGATGCCCAGCTCCCAAGTAAGAGTAGCAGCCTCCTCCCCCGCCACTGGCCTTTGATCTCCTCTTTTGGGGATATGAGAACCTGGGTGACATTTTCTGAAGCTAGTTTCAAAACTAAGGTTTCAGTGGAAAAAATCAGAATGTTTTTGCCAAAGGCCCCGGAGTTTTTGTAGTTTATCCATTTCCTTTCTCTTGTTACTCTTCTCTGTTCTCTCCGATTCCTGATTCTTGTTCACATTTTGCTATTCTGTTTCATTCAGCTTTGTCTCTTCAGGTTTCTTGCACCCAAGTTCTGGGGAGCCACTCAGAAGGCCTTGACTGGCTTTGGCCTGTGAGAATTTTTTTGCCATTTTGGGAACAGGGGTCCAAAGGGTGTAAAGCATATGGTTCACACCGGATTCTCCCTGCGCCTCTACTTAGAAAACCCAAACTAAAGGAGCTGTGTCTCTCTCCCAAGGGTCCACACTTTTGCTGGGGACAAAGCTGGGCCCTTTTGAGCCAGATGAGGAAAAGGGAGGAAGGGAGCTCAGGACAGACAAGTAAGCATCTCAAGCTTACTGAAGGTGTAGGACTGCCTACCTCCATCCCAGATGGCAAGCATGGCCATTCATTCAACAAGCTTTAATGGGAACAGAATAAAGTAATGCAGCATGTCTCAAACTATGGTCTCAGGGCTTTTTTATAGCAAGGCGTTCCGGTGGAGTGGTTTTTCTTTTGTATATAAACTTAAAAAAAAATTTTGAACAGGTTCATATTTATGGAATTACTGGTTAGGTGGTTACCATATACTCCACACATGGGGTCTCATTCTTAACATTTTTATCCCAGGATTTTGTCTGAATTGTATTTTGTTGATAGTATCAACTTTGTTATAAAGTTCTCTCCTGGAGGTGATTCCTTACTGAAATATTCATGATGAAGAGAAAGCCTACATTTCTTGAATAAATGCTTAGTCTCAGATGGTCTAGTCCCAGGGGCCTGAAAGAATTTCTTTCCTTTTATGTGCCAGTAACATTGGTGTGGAGTTAAGAACTTGGTTGCATTACTTTCCCAGTTTAATTTGACAGATTTGGTGACTTAAAAAGACAGGAATGTGTTCTTTCATAGTTTATGGCCAGAAGTGAGATCAAGGTGTCTTTAATACCTTCCTCCCACCGGAGGCTCCCAGCCTTTTAGCTTCCAGTGCCTCTAGGTGTTGTTTGGCTTATGAATTACTTCTGTACCTCTGTTTTCACATGGCCTCTCTCCATAACCCTGTCTTTCCCTGGAAGGACACATGTCATTGAATTTAGGGTCTATCCTAAACACCCTGGCGGGTGTTACCTCAAGATCTTTAATTACATCTGCAAAACCCATTTTTCCAGGTTCGAGAGTGAGGATTTGGGCTTACGTAGCTTTTGATTTACTTTGTGGGCTGCATGCATACATTGCCACTTTTCTAATTGTGGGACTTTGCGCCTGAGTTTCCTCATTGTTTGGATGGGGTGGCTTGCCTGTGTGGCATGGGGCAGGCCCTGCTACCTTAATGAACTGGCGGTAGTCTCCAGGTGGGTTGGGTTACACCTTGGGGTGAGGCCACACTGTCTGAACAGACCTGGGGAGAGGGGTGCCCAGAGAGGTATGGCTCTGAAGTGTGGTTGGTGAGTGCAAAGTCCCTGGGCACATCTGAAAGCAGGCTCAGCCTTTGGGTGTGAAGCAGGAAAAGATCAAAGATGGGTGAGCCTTTGGGGACAGAGGGAGGTATGGGAGCTGGGCAGGACAAAGGGGAGTACCTCTTCATGACTAGGGTCATCCAGGCTGCTGGAAGCTTTAGGCCTTCTTTTGGATCTAAATGCTTTGACCAGGTGAGAAAGTGACAGGAGTCCTGTGCTATAGCTTGGGCTTCCAGACCCAGGATTGGAGCCTTTTGAGGGGAAGACAGAGGATATCCAGGATACCCACAAAAATCTTCCAGGTTTTACCTTTGGGAGATAGATGAGAGGTAGTCTTGGGTGCTGGCAAGGGTCCTGGAGGAGGACCTAACAGATGGGGTCACTGGCTATGTGGTCTTTTTTCTTTCCTTTCCTTTCATTTTTTCCCCCCTCCACATTTAAAAAGGACAGGACAGGTTTATTGGGAAAAGGAGAAAGGAAAAGGAGTCAACTTTCATAGTCAGGTGGGCAGGAGAGCTGCCGCTGCTGCTTTGCAAAGAGAAAACGTTTGTGACAAGAGATACCCGCATAGTCACAGGTGTCAGAAGAGCTGGCTATGTAATCTTGACCTGGTCATTTCACCCTCCCCCCCCCACCTCCATAGCAACACTTAACTGCTCATAGCCTCAGTTTCCTTACCCACAATGAAAGTATGCCTCCAGGGCTCATGAATGTGGGTGGGTAGACTGTGGGGTGTGGAGCAGGGTGTCCAGTGGTAGAAGGTACATAGTTTTAGGTATCTTCTCAGTGATGTCATTGGTGTGGAATGGGAAAGAGATGGCTTTTCTAGGAGGGATCCCTTTATGCTGCAAGACTGCCCAACCACCCTCCGTCCCCAGCAGATAGGAGAGTGCCCCGTGGGCTGTAGCCTCTGCCTTAGGTGTTCTGGTCAGGAGACGGGTTTACATCCCTGTCCCTTGATGTTTTTACCCTCCACATGGGAAAGATGACAGATACATGGAGCTCCCACTAACCCTGTAATCAGCGGGAACCCTCCTTATTCCTTCATGTTACTTGAAGCCACCCTGGCCTGTGTCCATGGCATTGGGTAAACCAGGCCATCTTCTCGGGGCTGAGGTGGAGGCTGCTGGGCCTTGAGGAGGCATTGCATGCTCTTTGAACCGGGGTACAGACCAGTGGTGTGGGGGGTGTGAAGATTTACCAGAGACAGAGTGGGGAGCAGAACAGGCAGATGAACTGAAATACACTGCTGAGGGGAGCAGCAGGTGGATCAGGAGAGGTCTGCCATGCTCTGTGGGTCACCTTCCTGTCCTGGGATCGAAATCATGCTGCAGTGGCTGAGATAGCTTCATAGTGCTATGCTTTAACCCACTGTGCCACCAGTGAGGGCCCTAACCTCTTGAAGGTAGGTTCCTTCCCTCAAAAGAAAGCATCTTCCCAGGGAAGCTTCTTGTGGGGCAGAAAGTAGAACCGACTCTCAGTTCCAAAGCTCAGTGGCACCCTTTCTGGAGATGACTGTCACATTTCTTTCTTGGTCAGCATTATGCCGTTTGGTTGGTTCTCTAGACTCTCCTTGTTCCTTTGGCTACAAAGAGTGTAAGGAGGGGCTAAGTGTAACCAGAACTGATGGGCTAAGTTACGGTTTGTGGGGGGCATGCCAGCTGGGGAAACCCCAGAGGAAAAACTCTGGGTTTTACTCTTGTAAAAACCTGGTGACTTCTTCAGTCACACTCCTTGTACTGTCACCCCCACCCTGAAAGTTGGGGGTGGGCAGAGGGTGCAAAAGAGGCCTGTGTGCCTACCCTTTTGTACATTCAGTGTCAAGATGGGTGACAACGGAGAAGGTAGTGCTGGGAGGGCATCCAGGCGCCTGCTGCTGGCTGCCATCATTCAGTGAGCATTTACTGCACCCCTGTTTCTGCAGGAACCTGTGTTGACAGATTCAGTTGCCTGACCTTGGGGGCAGCTGGGGAAAGAATAATAGTATCAGTCAGGGCGTGTGGTGAATTGGCAGCCACTTGTTTTTAAATAGTCAGAGCTAGGGGAGGTTTTTACATTTTTGAAGGATTGATAAAAAACCCGAACAACCCAAAGGGGGACATTCAGCTAACAACACAGTTGTCTTGCAAAACCTAAAATATTTACTGTTGACCCTTGACAGAAAAAGCTTGTAGACCCCTAGTTTGAAAGAAGCAGGCAGGAAGAGGAGGGCACTGTGGGAACCCAGTCCAAGCCGGAGTTGTCTGTTCTGCCATGGCATTAAGAGAACTAGAAAGCCTTTCTTTGTGTATGTGTTTTGATTGTGAAGTATCCTGATTGCTTGGGCCAAGTAGAATATACCTTCA